TTGGCTTATTTTAGACTTTTGAATTGGAATAAGAAAATCTTCGGCGTCTTGTTACAGCTTGTGCTAAAAAAAATCTAACTTAAATGAATAGTTTGGTGATATTGTACAGTTTTCTCAGGCTCAAATCGTGTGTTGACCCAAACTAAATGCTATAAAATCAAGGAATACATTTTCTCAAACACTGTCCTTCAGTACGGCGTTGGCCTGCTTGTACTTCATTTGAGTGTTTACAGTCTTTACTACTTTGCATATTTAGTTTGATATTACAAAATACAATCAACAAATGAATGATAATGTAGCCTATCGTCGTTCTGAAAGTCTCGCAGTGAATTCTTAGATAAATTAACTTTATTTACTCCCCTGCAGGGAGAAATTTCCAGTTTTAATGATTAAAATCAGCTTCACCTCAACATTACTGTGATGAACACATGAAGACATCAATAATTATAATCCCATAAATTCATACACATGACTACTTTTACTTCTGGTACTTTAAGTTTATTTTTTTGCTAATGTTTTTGTGCATTTCTAAGCTTAGAGTATTTCACACTGTGCGTTTGAGTACTGGTTTTGCAAGAGCTCCGTGGGTATATCAGTGCTTTCTGAGCTATGGCCTATTCATAGTAACTAAGTATATTTACTCAAGTACTCTAAGTACAACATGATTGTCCTCGGATGGGCCGGATTACATTTAGATTACACACACATGAAATACGCATGAAATTTTTAGGTTTTTATTCAATGTATTTATTCTCTTACACAGAAAAAATATTAGATTTAAACTACATCCAGTTGAGAAATGTCATTTAGAATAAACTTATAAACTATAATAATTAGTTAAACTCTCAGTCAGTATGTGAACCAGGTAAAAACTAAAATAAATCCACTTCAACCAGTAAAGCTAGAACAAGATATGTGTCTAACTATTTGGGAAAACAAGCTGATTATTGTGGATCCAGTTGTTCTACATAAAAATCCTTCTGCCTGTGTGTCTGCATGTTCAAGCCAAACAGTTAAATAATGATGAAAGTCACTGAAGCCCCCAGTTTTGTTTCTGATGGTGGAGATTTAAAGGCCGATATGTGCTGCAGTCACTGTGCTGGACCTGCTAACTTTGTCACCAGCAAAGCAGCCCCAGATCACGACAGCTTGAAGAACACTTGCACAATTCACGCTCTCTGAATCTGACAAATACTTGGCAGTTGCGCTGAGATATTTCGAATTTTGGCTCATCGCTCCATGTTTCAGACCTAAAGAAGAAAATCCTTTTCTCTTGGCAGCAGTAGCTTTTTACACAATCCTCCCTGCTCAGCTCATGTTGGAACACCTGTACTTAAAGTGGCTGGGCTTATGTTTCGCTGCCACTTCATCACAGCCTTATAAGACTCGTGACTTGAATTAATTACGTCTCTAAATCCAAGGCCTCCTGCTTGACAGATGTGTGTCCGTTGCAGGAGTGGCTTCTACGTCGCTGAGCTGAGTACACCGACGAATGATAGCCGTGCTTATGCTACACGTTCACGTGGTGATAACACACCTGCACATGTGAACAATGATTTAGCTTAAACGAACTTTAATCAAATGAAAACCACTTCTCCATCTCCACTGGAGTAATAACCATTATTTGACTTTTTCTGGGTATATTTTCTGGTTTTCTTTTATATTAATTACACTTTCACTCTGAGTTTTTTGAAGCCCTGTAATCCCATTTGCTCTGATGTTATATATTTGCTGTTAAAACTGCCCAATAATACAGTTTTTCCTACAGTTACGTCTCTCTTGTTGTTTTACATGATCCTTTAATTACACTTTTCTACATTTCTTCCTGGATTCACGCTGTGTTCTTTTTATTAGACAGTGAAAAATGATGGAAGTCAAACATATGTGTTCAACAGGCGCTGCATGTGTTTGAGGAAGAAGACAAAAAAACACGACACGTGGTTTGATGGACACGATATGACATCTGCAACGACAGCTTCACAGCCGGGATCAAAGGAGTCGAGATGTACTTTGCAGCCTCTGATCTTCATTTCTGAAGGACAAGTTGAATTCTTGAACAGTCTAACTGACCCTCCTCAGGGGTAATTTGAGTCCCTCATAACAGCTATATAAGGGCATCCAGGGCAAAGGGCAAAAGATAAAAACCTCTTTCACCTCCGTGCTGCTAAATTTGCACATCTGTTTCTCGGCTTCGTGCTTCTCCTCCTCCCCTCTCTCTCTCTCCCTGAGTTTGACTTCCATCCATCCATGCTCTAACACTACTGTAGGTAACATAAACACACACTTCTCAGACCACCGTAGCGAGGGCAGCAATGAATCAGCGCGTGTGTGTGTGTGTAATACTACTGGGACGTCTTTGGAGGCACAGCACAACGTGCGTATTGATAGCATTTTAAACTCGGACTGCGGGGCATTTTGCTCTCCAGTCAAAATCTCATTTTGTCACCATTAAAATGAGAAATGTCAGGGGCAGATTGAACCGTGCACAACATGAACTAGACCTTTTAGTTTAGCCAGAGGTGCTCCAGCTGAGCTCTGTCTCAGAGAGAGTTGATCTGAGTGCAGCAGACCGTAAAAAAATCTATTTGTACTGCGCTCTCAAATTGTTTTAACACTGTCAGTTTGACTAGTGCCAAAATTTCTCACTGAATACTTAAAGATTTTCTGAAATGATCCATCAACTTCCTTTTATTTGTGGCAGAGAGTTGCTGAATTTTATGGATTTCTGCTACATAAAAGGCCCTGAAAGCTTCTTACTACGAGCAATGGGAGGCTGTATAAACACATAATTTTCTGCCAAAATGAAAGCAGTTTTGCTTCTTTCATATGGGAGATTTCAGTGTGTTTGCTTTTGTCAGCTCTGCCCTTCTCTCTAGTGTGACGTTGGCAGGGAAACCATGATGTTACGGAGACACACTAGAAAATCAACCCTAACTTCTTTATTTATCTCTTCAAAACTCTCATTGTTGCTCATGTTTTCTTGCTCACAATTGAGACGGGGCCCTCTCATGAACTGCACTGCGTGTTACAGCATAATCGTGGGAAGCTTCAACACCACTGGATCGTCTTGGGGCTCGTTGTGATCGTTGCGTGTCCCTTATCTGCTGCACCGCCACGCTCCGTGTCACACACGTGCACTAACTGTACAAAACTTCCTCGAGGGACGGCAACAGTTTGTAGTGAGTGCACCTGCGTGTCAACAGACAGTAATGTGAGGGGATACTTCAAACGTGTCTGATTTTATATAATAAACCCAGGATGAAGCAGTAAGCTACTACTGAAATGTATTAAAACAACTTTTTGCTTCATGATCTGGTCTGTTTATATCAAACTTTTTTAATGAGATGAACTGAAATAACTGTGACTACTGATTTAATTGAATCAGAAAGTGAAATCAGAATGCAACTAGCTGTGTATCAATCTGGGACTTGTTTGCGTGCAGAGACCCAAACTCACTTTTGAAGTACTCAGGTGCTGCTGAGCCCTGTTCTACGGCTCTGAGTGTTTGGTTTGGACATGCTACTTGAGACCGCTAACTAACAATCAATCTCATTGTTGATTAATCAACTGATTATTTCCTTGGCTGCTGATAAAAGCATCACGGCGTTCTGACCCCCAGGGCACAGCCATTCAAAGGCTTGTTTGTCTGCAAAACTGAAAGACGCTGAACGGACCTGGAGGGGAAGCTGCTGCTGTTGTAAAGGCCCAGAATGAACTTTAAAGTTTTTAAAGTCCTGACAGGGCTCTGAGAACGCAACTCTAGACCGCATGCGTTGAGGAGGAGTCCCTCAAATAGTGATGTTAACATTAATATAACATAAACCAGAGAAAAGCAGCAAATTAGATAGATAGATAGATAGATAGATAGATAGATAGATAGATAGATAGATAGATAGATAGATAGATGAAAATGTTCTGGTTCTGTGATCTAAAATCTTCCTTTGTCATGTACGTCATTAAATCTTTTGTTTGTGGGCTGTTGTCAACTCTTGAGATGTCCTTGGTTTCTTGGTTTCTTGGTGTCTTGGTGCACAAGGACAAACACTGACAAGCAGAAATAAAGAAAGAAGTACAAAAGGATGCAAGTCAAACAAACACTAAGGTGGTACAAGACAAACGCTATGATGAGTATGTGTGAAGAGTTCATTTGCAGAAACAGATAACTCCATTTTTGTAGATTTTCAGAAAACTTTTTGTTGTTTGCTTGAGATAACATCAATCAGACTGAAGCTGAGTGGATTTGACTGAGTCGAAATGACATGACAAAAACAGATAACTAAAGTTTGGTTGATATTCTCTGAGGTAGATGATGGACAAGTGGGTTTTCTGAAGGTTGGTGCAGATGGAACTTTATGTTTTTGCAAATGAACTCTTCCTGTATTCATAATTGCAGTCTCTGTGTGTAAATCAGAGCAGGGATCCTGGCAGACTGGCTGAAAGTGAACACCAGCAGACACACTTTCTTTGTGGTATTGTTTCTTTTTTATAATTTGAACAGTGAAACAGCATGAAAGAGTCCACTGGAACAAACCAAAGGCAGCAGAGGAAGAACAGTAGAGCCACAGACTGCTGCTGTCCCACATGTTCTCACTGGGAGAAGCTTCCCTTTGAGGTGCAACATCACAGCAGGAGGAGGAGAAGAAGGAAAAAAAAGAGACAATTAAATAAAACAGGCAGTGATCCAGTGCAGGCTTTAAAGAGGAAGCTTTTGTCTCCTGCTTTTTTAACCCGGTGTGAAGCCTCTCTGGCGCCCCTACCGTCTCTTTACGCGCACTGGAGCCGTTTAGCATGATGATCGCAGATCCTCTCTCGGCTCCACAGCCACATATCTGAAATTTTACAACAATCGTTTCCTACAGGGGCTGTCCCCACCCCCTCCGCTCCAGCCCTAGCACGGCACGGCTCGACTCGACTCGCTTTGCCAGCCCCGGCCCTCCTCCAGGGCTGCCTGAGCCGGTGTTTGATTGGATTAGAGTCGGCTAGCCTTTGCCCTCTAACCCCGCTGATGTTGGCTTGCTGCTTCCTGCTCCCTCCGCTCCCTCTGACCGACTGACGAAAGCCTGCCGAAGCCGCACGGCGAAGCGCCCTGCACGGACACAGCCGACCGGGACGAGCCGCTAAAGAGCCGGAGGAGAGCGGAGCCGAGAGCCGCGCAGCACAAGAGGCAGGCGGGCGGACGGAGAAGACGGGCAGCCATGCGGAGGAAATCAAGGATATTGTTGTGTTTTGCGGTGCTGTGGGTGCTGGGGATAGCCTACTACTTCTACTCGGGGACAGCGCTCAACCGAAAGGTAGGATTTCCGTTCCTCGACTGCTTTTTTTTCTCCTCTTTTTTTTCTCTTTCTGGCCGCTCGGTCCGTGTCGGTGCCCGACTGGAGGCTTTTTTTTCTTCCAGGACAAAGCGAAGATGGAGCGGCTGTGATTCGGCGCTGCTCTGCCTCTTTTTTTTTTAACCTCTGTTTTTTTCTTTCTTTTTAAACGGCTGCACGATGCTGAGAGGAAAGTGATAAGGGGCCTGCTAGTATCAGTGGGCAGGCAGTGATTTGGTGGAGATGAGTGTGGACAAGGGCAGCTTCGGTAGCGGGGGGCTGGCTTGGCTCGGCTCGGCTGGCCGGTCGGCGTGCGCGGACCTCCCGCTGCGCCGGTGATTCCTTCCCGTGGCAGCGGGAGCGCAGCGCGTCCTCGCCCGTGGCCGCCCGCTGCACGCCGCTGTTCGCCGCTGGTTTCGCCGGTTAATGTGGCAGCAGATTAAGGGTGAGAGCATGCACAAGCGGTTCCTCTGACTATACGAGGCTGCCGGCCTGGCTCGCAGGGCCGGTGGGGTGGGGAGGAGGAGGAGGAGGAGGAGGAAGGGGGGGAGGTTGGAGCCTGTAGAGCACGTCAGCACAAGCTGCTCCGAGAACCGAGCACGGATCAGGAAGTGTTCAGATTAACGACGCCGGGTTAGAGCGCTCACACGCCGGCCTGTCAGCGTGGGGGTTTCCCCTTTTTTAAAAAACCCAAACATTAGAGCCACGATCAGCCGCGAGGACGAACCGGATCCAGTTGAACTTCGGTGCCGTGGTGTCCGGATTGTGTCTGCTGGTTGTGTGGAAACATTTTTACACTGTTTGGTTTGATCAACTAAACAAAAACAGTCCTGCAAAAAAGAGAAAGTCTTGGTCAAACTTTTTCTACAGCTGTGACTGTTAACCACTGCATCACAAACACTAATCAGATGAGAGGAAATGTGCTTTAATTTGACATTTAAAGGTTTAAAAAAAGGGGAAAATTTATATATTTGACATGCAAATCACATATCTTTTGCTTGTGGGCTGCTCTCTGGACAAATCTGGATACATCAGGGTGTCTGTTTATTTCCGGGCTGCTTTGCACGTGTGGTTAATTTGACAGGAAACAGAAGTAGAGAAGTGTGAAGAAGAATAAAAGCAAATTAGATGAAAAGCATTGCAGGCCAAATAAAAAAGCTCCATCTACTTTAAACAGTTACATCTGATTCTGGGAAACTGTGGATGAATCAGCTGTAAAAATAATAATTAGTGGAAAATTTCACGACTTCCCCCCCTTTTTTATATATTCCTGGATGATAATAAACTGAAATTATCTTTCAAGTTCTGGTTGGATGGAGGCTGATGAAGACATCACACTTCTTGTCTGATCTTTTATGGATCACATGTGGTGGAGAAGTGGCCTGGCACAGACTATCAGTGCAAGCAGCCTCTTAGATGTGTGGATTTTCACGTTTGCGCCACGTCGCGTTTGGTTTGCTTCTCAAAACTGGTGGGTCTCTGTGTACCTGGCAGCAGAAGTCACAGCGGTGCTCGCTGGCGAGGCTCGGATTCCATTCATGATACTCCGGGCCTGTACATGCAGCAGTATGTCATGCGTGAAATGTAAGTAAAATATCCTCCAGGTGTTCACATGTAGAGTTAGACCGTTGTGCTCACATCTATATTCATGTGTGAGCCGGAGAGACACTGAGTCACTTCTTTTTGTGTGTTTGTATGTGTGTGTGTGTGTGTCGGGGGGCATCCAGCTTGTGCCAACTGAGTGTGTGTGTGTGTCTGTGCAAATGTAGGCCAGTGTATCCTGCTCTGTGTGTGTGTGTAGTGTGTGTGTGAAGTGCTCTGCGTGGGTGGTTGTGTGCACAGTAGACTGCCTCTATTACCCCTCTGGATTTGGTTGTGTGTGTGTGTGTGTATGTGTGTGAGAACATCCTGTGTGTATTCCACCTGTCTCTTGTCTTGTCCTATCTGTCTCTCTGTGTTTGCTTTGCTCCAGTCAACCAGAGCAGCCCTTTTACTTTTCCATTAGGCTGATAGCTCTGCTGCGCGTGTGTGTGTGTGTGTGTGTTTATGTGTGTGTGTGTGTGTGTTTGGGTTTCTTAAGGGGGTCAAAGCGACACTCCACGATAAGCAACTTTCTCCTGGAGTTGGATTGCGAGTAGCATTAATATGGATGATGGGCTGTACCCGGCCGGTGTCTTTACACAGAAGGACATTTAATCTGTTTAAACAAACGCGGCCGCTGCACAGGTAGAGTGTTGTCTTCCTCTAGTTTGTGTGTAAAATAAATAAAAGAGGCATTTAATAGTTCCGCCCTGCTGCTATAAGGCAAACTTTATAACTCCAGTTCAGTGAAATTTTTCAAGAAAGGACTTCCAACAGACGGACAAAATTTCACGGATCTCGGATCTCTGAAACCGATTCAAAACCAGATCTGAGGTTTTGAACGCTTGCTGCTGGTCGTCAAATTTAAAACCAGTTGTGTTGCTGAATTGTAGAGTCACAGCAGAGGATTGTTTTGCACATATGTTTATTAAAATGCTGAGTAATGATATGTGTCTAAGGCCCAAAGTGCTGACTCACAGTCCAAAACATACAGTGATGTCAAACAGAGGAAATGCACACATCTTAGATTTCCCCCTCCTCCTTGGTAAAGTACTTGATGATTTAAAATTGAGGCCAATTAATTTACCCGTCAAGTGGTTGGGCCTCTCAACCTCTAAAATGTTGCAATCATATCCGTCGTAGCTCCTGGTGGTTCTTTACCTTTTTTGTAAAAAAAAAAAAAAAAATGTAATTGAGATAAATGAGCTCACAGTGCTGCAGCGTGTCCACGAGCAGCATTTGTAACTCGAAAACTTCCAAACAACTTCATCCAACTGACAAAACGGTGGATGTTTCCGCGCATGCCGCACTTGGACTCGGTCCGACCTGCCCGCCCCTCCTCGCTGGTCTCAGATAGTTCCTGCATCCAGCGTTACACCTCACAAAGCTGCGTGTTGTTGTGTCATCGCTGCACTGTGAGGCGCATTCAGAGCCTCCAGCCCGGGCCGCTCTGAGCCCCGCCAGCCTGAGCAGGACTCACATTCCCGTGGCAGCTAATTCAAAAGCCCCACTTCTGAATAATCTGAAAGACAGTGTCTCTGCCAGAAGAATTAGTTCTTGAGCCCCGTCACACACCAGTGATACTGCAGCTCCTGAGATCAAAGCGCTCACCAAATAGCATTTCTGCTATTATCGGCTGTAAAGTCCCTTATTTGGAAGAATGTGTCTCTTGTTGGAGAGCGTACGCCAATTTAAAGTCACTTCTTGGACACGGTATCAGTGCCTCTGAGCTATCACAGCGCCACAAAATGAACGTTGCCATTTCTGACAAATATCTTGTGAGCTTTTTTTTCTTTTTCTTTTTTTTTTTTTAATATGGCAGCAGAAAAAAAAAGAAATGTCTCCAGAGGTCCAGAGCAAACCTTTGTACAAAATGTTCCTTGTGTCTTTGATCGGAGATTTCAAGCTGCATCAGTGGGAAGGATTCTGTCTTTTATTAGTTTATGCAGTGACACTGAATGTTTTTGAGTGTTTCTCAGATTCGCTGAACTGGGTTAGATCTGCTTACAAGATGAGCTGCTATGTGAGGTCCCCATCAGCAACCCCGTTTTTGGACTTTTAAAACGGACTCATAAAGTAATCCCTGCAAAAGTCTAGTCATTTGGATCAATTTTTAATCTTTTAAGGAGTTTTTTTTTTTTGGTAGCAAAGGTCAGTGGTCTTTTCTGAAACCTTTCATGTTGTCAGACTCTTACAGCGAGAAATTTAAAATGCATTTCTGCTCTCTCCTAATAATATCTGTGACATGGATTTCTGTTGTATTACTACACAGATATAAGCTGAAAGTGAAATTTGTCGCTCCTTTCTTCTCTCTCAGCACAGTGTGTAGAATGACAGGAAACTCCCAGCAGCTGGACTCGATGCATTGTTGTGCACAGGAGGGTAATGTTGCACCGGGATGCCCCATTAACGTCTTCCTTATTGGACAGACCTTACAGGGATTTCTTTTTTTTTTTTCCTGGCAGCTCTTTAGAAGCAAACGTCTCACTGTGGAGTCTGCCTTCCTGCTAATCAGCGGGGTGCGAGGGGAGATAAATGACAGACAGAGGAGGGCGGCACCGAACGGCAGGAAAAAAACCAACAAAAATAGACTTTATTAGTAAAGTTATCTGTGTGAGCAAAGCTGCAGACACACGGTAATTGGATTTATCAAAGTCAAAAACAGTGTGGCGGCTTTGTTTTTTCCCCCCCAAGATGCAATGTGTGACAAGTTCAACCTGTACTGCACGTCTCCTCCCAACAAAAATGTCTTATAATTACTACAAACTGTGTTGTCAAGAGAAATGAGACGAGTGAACACTGTTGATGTGGAGCTCATCTCTCATCCGGAGGTGCGTCAGAGCTTCACACTGCAGGTATTTCAGAGTGGATTCTGTGTAGCCAGAGGTTTGCATTAGTCTCCTGCTGGACTGTGGAGTAACTTCTTCTTCCCAGCGAACTGAAGAGGCGAAAGGATCACACGTGAACCGGCTCGGCGGGGATCCTGGCAAGTCCAGAACTCTTGAGTGAAACTTACAGTGTCTGTTATCTGTAGCTTTAGGCGTTCAGCTTCTGCCTGTCCGTGCATGTCTTAAACTTCAGCTTTATCGATACATCTGTCTCTCATCGTGGGCAGCAGCAGCAGCAGCACTGTGCTGGCTCTGAGCGCTTTTTGCTGTTTTTAAAGCAGAAAATGTTCGAAAAGTGTAGCAGCTGCAGACCACACTGTCTGTGAGGGAGCAAGTGATGATGTTACATTTAGCTTGTTGAGCGTGTTTTGTGTTAGGCCTGTCATTTAGCGGGCGGATTCTGGTCTCTGCTCTTCAGGACCGAGTCCCGCCCTGCGCTGTCTGCGGGAATACGACACAGCCCTTATGTTACTAACTCAGGAACACACACTCACACGGACCGGCATTTACATA